CCAGCAGTTGGCCACTCCCTGCCGCGCGCGACAGCTTAATCGCGACCCGCTGTTGCCTCCCTGATCCTCCCTTTCCTTTCCCCCGCCGTCTTACTTAAGGGTGGTTGGCGCTCGCGTCGCCGTCGCTGCTGTCGTCGCGGTAAAATGTCCTCTCCACTCCTCTCCCTCGCCTGCGCCGCTCATGGTGGTGATGGTGGCGCGGTGTCGTTACTGCCTGCCGGTTTCTACTGTGTAGTGTGTGTACTGCCCGGTGGTAACTGGCGGAGGCAGAGGCGAAGCGTTCTCCGCTCGGGACGGGCGAGTTAAATTCGGGTGCCGTGGGGGCCAGCCTGGCAGTGAGAGAGTAAATTTTGTTCCGTCCGGTCCGACAGTGGTAACAACCGCTCGCGCCGTTTCCGATCGCAGCCGTGTCGCTCGTGTTTTTATGACGCCGCTCTGTGGACAAGGCGACGAGATGATTGCATTCACGGCTCTCCGTAGTACAGTACAATTGTTTTGCCCTTTCTTTTTTGTGCAGATGCTAGGAGCCGGTCGACCGGCCCAAATGTCGGCCGATCGCTATGCGTATGTTGGATTAAAACGCCTTTATATTGTTGGATTATTTCTTCTTGTCTTTGATCCGAACACAACACTTGTAGCAATCATGCCGCCAGCGCTCGCCGGCCACCCGCGATGTCGCACTCGCCCCACGCTTGTCCTCACCCCTGTGCTCGCCTGCAACCTGTGCGGCCCCGTGTTCATCCTCATGCCAATTCCAATGCGGCCGAGTGCCGGTTGTGGCATACTGGTTTCTAGTCATCGTGTGTTACCGTCATCATGCGTCACCGTCATCGTAAGAAGGACCCCAGCCTCCCGCAGCCCTGGCGACGGTTGCAGCATAGTCCCGTGTCGATCGTGATTTGGACAATGTTGTGTTGGTTGCAGCAAAACAATGGCATGGTTCAGCAAAAAAACAATAGCATGGTTCAACAAAAACAATGTCATAGTACAGCAAAACAAATGCATGGTTTCGGCAAACCGCCAATGCCAACAAAAATAATGGCTCGCCGTAGCTGGTCGCATCAAAGTTCTCATCGGTCCTAGCAAAACAACTCGTCGGTTGCAACTTAGTGTTTTGTCGATTGTAGCACGTTCAACTTGCCTTCATGCCAAACATCACCTCGCTCTAGCATCGAAGATTGCTGGTTGCACCAACGGTGGCCACCGTTTCCTGCTTTCTGGTGTGCCAGTTGTAGCACTGGGCACCTCCGATTCCAGCAAATTGCAACCACACCCCTGAGCCACATCACTGGAAGGCCCACACCCCACGAGCCACTAGCACCTTTGTTTGCATCACCGGCTTGTGGGCCTTCCAGTGATGTGGCATCGCTGGCTTCCCACGCAACATCCATTTGGCGCAGAGGGAGCACACACAACATCGTTTCTCCACGGCGACAAGGGGCGGCTTTAGGTGTTGGGAGAGGGGGTTGCTCATAAGAGTGGGAGGAATTGCTCGCAGCAGTGGCATGGAAGGATTCGCTCGTAGCAACAGGTGGTCGACCTCGATGACGGAGGGTGGTGGTCGACCTCCACGGACGAGGGAGAGAGGGAGTGGAAGGAGAAGGTCGCTTGGGAAGAGAAATTGTAGCTGGATGCGGCTCCTGTGTGGACATGGTTTCTCCGACAAGGGGGTGAGGGAGCGAGAAGAAGCCACATGCGTAAGGCCCACCCAAGCATGTGTCCCGCGCAGGGGCTGCAAGCCACATGACCTGAACGCATCAGGCGGCAAGCGAGCGACCAGGAATATTATTCAGGCAAGATTATTCACGTAGAAAATTTCAATCAAAACCATCAACTTCATAACATTATTCAGGTAATTACCGGAAAAGAAACTAAACTCTACATCACAACACATCAGAACAACAGAGATCATGGCATAATTACCACATAATTCCCTTTTCCTCATAACATTGGACATTGGCATAACATAAGAAATCCATACCATAGCATAAGATAGGACATGATTCTTTAGTTGAATCATAAGCAACCAATCTTGTTTAACCACCGAGCATCCACACGCCGGATCCTCGGCACTACGGCCTATGATAGCAGCAAAAATATTCAGTACTTGACGATGGCAGCTACCAAAGGCGCTTCATATGGTGACCCAAGCGGCGGTTTGAGCGGCGAAGATTTTGCTTATACTATGGGGAGAACGCATACTGCTCCATGACTATGGGCACAGTGTTGCAGCTCGGCTTCGGTTGGCTTGTGACCATCGCCAAATCCTCGTTGGTGTCTGTCTCAAAGGTCTCCTCCTTCACCATATGCCCATCATCGTCGACACGAATCAACATATTCATGTCTCCTGACGTAGGCATTGCGATGATCACCAACCACTCTGCTTCTGCATCCTTATCCACGATCTCCTCCGTCATCTGCCCGTTGTCGTCGATAGTAATCGGCAGATTGATTCGTTCCATCGGAGGCATCACGATGTTCGACAACATCTCCTCTTTGCCAGTCTTCTCCACTGTCTCCTCCTCAACCATCTGCTCGGCATCGTCGACATTAATGATCTCTAAAGACATACCAGGGGGAGGTTGCACGAATCTCAACCCTAAACGGAAAGATCTACAGATCCGGCGCGGCGCTGTGAGAGTGGTATGAATACCAGTGTGCTAGCTATTGGAGAACCGGAGACACCATTGTCTCGCGCATCTCCCAGAGTAAAACCTTAAGAAAATTCACCCATTAACTGGATCTAGAATCATCCCTTGGATCTCATCCTCCATTGCATCCATGGTCAAACTAAATGAGTGTTGCGCCGGAGCTTTGAAGCTCGGAAACCAGGAGGAGATCTCCTTGCACTTCACCAACAATGCCTCATTGTTGCCGTAGAACCTCTCCAACGGTGTCATCATCGGCGACTGCTTGGGAGGGGAAGGTGGGGTTGGGTTCGGGTGGGGTGCTCGGGCTTCATGGGGCCTGCTCGTGGATGTGATACGTCTCCAACCTATCTATAATTTTTTATTGTTCCATGCTATTAAAGTATCATTCTTGGATGTTTTATATACATTACTAGCAACTTTATGATAACCCACAAGTATAGGGGATCGCAACAGTTTTCGAGGGTAGAGTATTCAACCCAAATTTATTGATTCAACATAAGGGGAGCCAAAGAATATTTGCAAGTATTAGCAGCTGAGTTGTCAATTCAACCACATCTGGAGATTAATTATCTGCAGCAAAGTGATCAGTAGCAAAGTAGTATGATAGTTTTGATAGTAGTAGCAACAACAATAGTAATGGTACCAGTGATAGCAATGATTTTGTAGCAAGTGAAGTAGTAACAGAAGCAGTTGTAACTTAGCGGAAACAATATAAGAGAAATTCGTAGGCATTGGATCGGCGAATTCGTTGGGTGATATTCATCATATAACAGTCATAATCTAGGGCGATACGGCACTAACTCCAGTTCATGAATATAATGTAGGCATGTATTCCGTAAATAGTCATACATGCTTATGGAAAGAACTTGCATGACATCTTTTGTCCTACCCTCCCGTGGTAGCGGGGTCCTATTAGAAACTAAGGTATATTAAGGCCTCCTTTTAATAGATAACGGAAGAAAGCATTAACACATAGTGAATACATGAACTCCTCAAACTACGGTCATCACCGGGAAGTGTCCCGACTTTTGTCACTCCGGGGTGGCTGGATCATAACACGTAGTAGGTGACTATAACTTGCAAGGTCGGATTTAGAACATAGATATAATAGTGATAACATAAACGGTTCATATCTGAAATCATGGCACCTGGGCCCAAAGTGATAAGCATTAAGCATGGAAAAGTCATAGCAACATCAATCTCAGAACATAATGGATACTAAGGATCAAGCCCTAACAAAACTAACTCGATCACATGATGAATCTCATCCAACTCCACACCGACCAGCGAGCCTACGAAGGAATTACTCACTCCCGGTGGGGAGCATGATGGAATTGGCGATGGAGAAGGGTTGGTGATGACAAAGATCGAAGATCCCCCTCTCCGGAGCCCCAAACGTCCCAGATCTGCCCTCCCGATGAAGAACAGGAGGTGGCGGCAACTCCGTCTCGTGAAACGTGATAATTCATTCTCCCTCATTTTTATCTCCAAATATGTGATTTTATATTATCAGGGTTGAGGCCTGTGTGGCCACCAGGTGGGGACAACCCACTTGGGCGCGCCTGGAGGGGGCGCGCCCTGGTGGGTTGTGCCCACCCAGGTGCCCCCCCCCCTCCGGTGGTTCTTTGCTCCAGAAATTCTTATTTATTGAATAAAAAATCCTCGCAAAGTTTCGTTCTATGAGAACTTTTATTTCTGCACAAAAACAACACCATGGTAGTTCTGCTGAAAATAGCGTCAGTCCGGGTTAGTTTCATTCAAATCATGCAAATTAGAGTTCAAAAGAAGAGGAAAAGCGTTAGGAAAAGTAGATGCGACGGAGACATATCAACTCCCCCAAGTTTAAACCTTTGCTTGTCCTCAAGCAATTCAGTTGATCAACTGAAAGTGAAAAAGAAAAGAAAAATACGAACTCTTTTGCTCTTGTTTACATAAATAAGTTTAAGTAGCACCCAGGTTTTCAGCCAAAATTATAACTAACCATGTCGACAATAAATATTCAAAATTATATTAACTCATATCATTGACATAATGAACTAGCGAGCAATAATAAGATATCTCAAACAATAACATTTTATCAAAACAACCATGATATAATATGACAATAGTGGTGTAACATCCCAAATTTTCAATTTGGAATATTATACATAGATCATCCATGCATATCATATTTTGTTGCATTTCGTTTTGCGATCCTCGAAATCCTAAGAAACTCAAGGACCCTCGGAGATAGTTGGGGATTTCCCTGTTTTCATATTTGAGTTTTATCAAATATTGAAACGAGGATTTTTGGTTTTAATTATTTTTCTCTCCGAAAATATTTCATATTAAAATATATGAGAGGAGATAATATGACTTCTCCAAAATAAATGAAATATTGGAGGAAAAAATTGAAATCAAATATTTGATTTTACCCGGAGTTTATTGCTATTTTATTTGAATTAGAAAAATTGCACGTTTTTCAAAGTTGCATTTTAGGGCCAAGAAAATGTTCATCTTGTTCTAAATATTTTATTTAGACGGTGAAAATTTGTTTTGGCATTTTTAGTTTTTTATTTTATTTTCTAGGATTTTTTTGTTTCGGTGGAATTATTTAAAAAAAGTGTGCAGTGGCCAACTGGGCCGAAGCCCAGCCGCCGGCCCGCTCCCCGCGCCACCGTCTCCGAGCAGGAGACTGCGCGCCGCGCCGCCGCCCGACCGGAGTCCGGCCGAGACTCCTCTCCCGCGCCTTGCCCCCTTCTCCAAGCCGCCCCGCCCCTACTTATAAGCCGCCGCCCCCGCCCCCGCCCCCTTGGAGCCCTGAGCCACCGCCGCCTCAAGCCGCCGACCCCGCCGCCGCAAGCCGCCACACCCGACCGCCTCGCTTGCCGCGCCGCGCCGCTGCCGCTTGCCCTCGCCGCCGCCGTCGCTCACCGGAGCCGTCGCCGCCGCCCCGTGTTGCCCCGCCGCTCACCGGAGCCGCTCGCCGCACCGTACCTCGCCGAAGGTAGAACCGTTCGTTTTTAAAAAAAAACTGGTTTCGTTTTTTTAGAAACCCTAGTTTTCTGGATAGATCGGTGGTTTAGTTACTTTGCGGACGTTCGTCCATACGTTCGTTTTAACGAACGGAGTTCACTCGTTAGTAACAGACAACGAACAATCGTTCGTTAGCCTGTTCGTCAGTTTTCTTTTTCTCGGATTTTTCCGCGATTATTTTCAATCGCGATTTCTGATCCGATTTTCGTTTTAGTTTATCTTTTTGCTCGTTTGTCGGAATCAGGCGATTCAAGCGCCTAGATCTTCGTCTCGAAATCCTCTTTCTGTTTAACCAACTTGAACAAGCTTTTTCTACTGTAAAATTTGACCTTAGTCCAGATTAGTAAACGGATCTTGTTTCTTTCGCGGTTTGAGTTTCGTTGCTCCGTTTGATTTGATTCTTTTTGCAAACCGGAGTTCTTAAGTTGAACTTTCTGGTTAGTTCTTCTTATTTGAGTTTACCCGTGTTTCTCTGCTTGATTGCTTATGTATGCTTTTGTTTGTTTGCGATAGAACACCCGGAGTGCGAAGCGTGCTACTACGAATCCCTAGGTTTTGCGGATCATCAGCAAGGCAAGTAACACTTTGATCATACCCCTTTATCACCCAGTTTTATGCATTAGTTCCAATCCTCAAACATTGCATGGTTAGGTTGTGATTTAACATGTGGGTTGGGAAGTAGTTAATGAGGTAGAACCTATTGCCCTGTTATTATCAAACCCTTGGGAGTTACTTCCATGTATTGCTTATATTGCTATGATATGCTCGTAGACGTGGTTGGGTGAGTGAAATCCATGACAGATGTGAGATTGTTAATTAATTGTTCAACTTAAGGTGGCAACTTGAATACACATCTGGGTGGATTGTTTGTTGGGCACCTGGGGAATCCAGTGTTGTCCTAGGATATCCCGGAGTACCTGTGTGATAATCCTATGGTCCGCCACCCAGGCTCAAAGGGAACTGAGATATTTTCATGCTAGAAACTTCCGTGTGCAGCCACAAACTATTATGGGCTCTAGCATAGTTGAGTAAGTTGCGTGAAGCTCCCGAAGAGGTGGATCAACAGGTAGAGGGATGTAGGTTTGGTATGGTCTGCCCGGAGTAAGGGGTTAATGCTTCTGAAAGACTGTGCCTCGGTCATTCGTTTCTCAAACACCATGTAGTGCGAGAAATCCAATGGAGGAGATCGAGTCTTGTGGGGAAAAGTGCGCAAACCTCTACAGAGTGTATAAACTAATCATGGTTAGCCGTGTCCCCGGTTATGGACATCTTGAGTATCTAGTACTTGGAGTATCATAAGTATCTCCTCACTCTAAATAATATTGTTGGGTTGTTAATTACTTTAATTGGGATTGAGTTGGAGGAACCTTCTCAATGATGTTTCAACTGCCATGATAGTTAAACAAAATATATTCCTTTGTTGTAGGAAAAAATTGGCTTTTCACAAAACTGTAACCATAGAGCTTTCCACCAGCCAAATATGCATGTAGTGATAGCATTATTCTGTTCTTGCTCTACTGTGTTACTTTACCAGCATATTCCATGTGCTGACCCGTTTTCAGGCTGCAACGTATTATGTTGCAGACTTTTCAGACGAGGAGTAAGGTTCGTTAGGTCATTGCCATACAGCTCAACTATGCCGTTGGAGTTGATGGACTCACTTTATCTTCCAAGCCTTCTGTTGTTATCATATTAGATGGCCTTAAGCCATATTTATTGTAATAAGTTCTCTTTTGAGACATTCGATATAATAAGTGTGTGATTGCTACTCTGTTATAAATCCTCGAGTATTGTGTGTGTCAGCATTACCGATCTAGGAATGACACGGAAGCACAGAGACTTGACCGTTTGAGGTCGGGTCGCTACAAGATGGTATCAGAGCACACGCTGAGTGTAGGACACGA